CCCGCTCCTCTTTTTCTTCTGCCTTTCCTTTCCCCCGTCCTGTCGGCCATTCTTTCCTTCCCTCCTGTCTGCAGGACAACAACGACATCACTTCCACCATGCTGGTCACTCAGGACTACTCGGCGCTCAAAGAGAATGAGATCTGTGTCAGCCAAGGAGAGAGCGTTCAGGTCATGGCCACCAATCAGCAGAACATGTACCTCGTTTACCGGCCGGCCAACAGCCAGTCGCCTGCCGCGGAGGGCTGGGTGCCAGGACACGTCTTAGGCCCGCTCACAAAGCCCATTAAAGACTCTTCTTCTACTTGCTCCTTCTCAGCAGCCGTAACAGACGCCAACAACATCAAGTAAGTCCCCGCCCACCCCGCACATCTTTCCCTGCAGACTGAAGCACTTCTGGTTGGGCTTGAAACCAAGTATTCGGATTGAATGAGAGGACTAAGCTGACAAAGGTCTGTCTAAATGTTTTTGTTCTTTACTCTGACTGTTCCCATCACCAGCTCCTCAGCTGTCTGCATCCTGTGTTTAAAAAGCAAACACAAAAAAAAATGTTGGACTTTGTTTTTTCTTGTTTTGAAGGTACAGAGTTGTTCTCTAACTGTCCATCAAGCTGCTGCAGTGACTTTGATTTCTTGAGCCGGTCACTTATCGGCTCTGTGGCGATGACGTTTAAACGAAAAAGCAAAATAAAAAAAGGTTTTGAGGCTTGAAAGTAACAAAAAAGAAAGAAAAACAGCTGAAAACTTCGAGGTGATTCCCACAGAAATAGACAGGATAGAAAAAACTTGTACCGTGTTGCTAACTGGAAACCAGAAAGTGAAAAGTACTCGTGTGGAGCTAAAACCGACTTTTTACTTCAGTTCCTAACACTCTGCATTTTCTTGTTTTTGTACTTTTTTTTTTTTTTTTTTTTTTTTTTCTGTAAAAAAACAAACAAAAAAAAACACCTCACCTGTTTGTTTATTCCTCTTATTGTTGCTGCCCTACTAATAATTATTTTATTCCACGGACAAAGTTGTATTTAATTCTTTTTTTTGTGTTGAATTTATGTTGGCAGTTCACTGTACAGAGTAAAAACATTGACTGAGGCTCTACAACATTCCTGTTTTTGTTTTGTTTGTTTGTTTTTGTTTTGTTTTTTTAACTAAAAAAAACCTTTTGCACTATTTATGACAAGAAAAATATGAATGAAGTCAGGCTGTGCAATATGTTTGGTGGCAAGGTCAGCATTGTACTCTTGGTAGTCTTATTAATAATACTGATTTTAAATTTTGTTAAATAAACCTTTTGGACTTGAGCACGAGTTAACAAAGCGGTGTCGAGGTGAAGATGTTTTATTTGACATTTGGCTGATGATGGGTGACGGTTTGTAGTAGTTTTTAATATTTGTAAATAAACCACAACAGCAAATGTGAACCCGAGTGTCTGCCTGCATGTGTGTTGCACTGTTATACCATTTTAGAAGGAAAGCTCTCTTAAAATGAGCCAAACATCATCACAGAGACATGTTTTTGTGACGAAAATAAATGTAACTATCAACAAATATTAGCAGAACGTGAAGAAGTAACGACAATGATCTCATATCCACACCTGAAGTTGAAATACATACATAGAAATACAAATACTGTGGTGGACCACTAGAGGGCTCCACTCACACCTCCACAATACTACACTACTGGAGTACAGGACACAGAAATATCAGACTAGTTCAAAGTTGGTATCCAAGCAGACTTTGTGCTGATTCTAACTCTGCTTATTGGGAAGTTTCTAGATGAAAGATTTCTGTTAAGGTTTTAATGCCAAGAACCAAAAATCCCCACAGCCACACTGCAGATTTACGTATATAAACCATTTACTGTGTTTTGTTCCTGTTTGGTTAATTTCAGCTTTTTGTGTATGTTGTTACATTTGATTTCTGTTTCGTTTCAGTTTTCACTAACCTCACGGTTTGACACTCCACAGAAGTTACAAACTCTAAACTTAAGTGGTTTAATAAATGTAGCAGCATTTGGCAACTGAACAAACTGTAAAGCCTTTAAAATCTTCTCGGAGAATAACTGTGGTTTATTCTTAGCTGCTTTTTCTCCTTGATGTGTTTTTAGGAGTTGAGCTAACTTTGCACTCTCTGCCTCACCTGTGTGTTTGGGGGTTTAAAAAAACCAAACCACAAGCTGCAGCTCATGGTTTGGTTTTTTAAAGACCTGGAGGATTCCCATTAAGAGAACTCACGACTAGGGGTGCAACGATACTCGTATCGATATTGAACCGTTCATACAGTGCTTTCGGTTCAGTACGCGTATGTATTGAACAATACAAAATTTTAAATTTATTTTATCAACTTTTCTTCTGACGATGCTGTCTTGTGTTGAGAGTTCAGTGGATCTGCGTTCGACTACTCCGCCTAGGCTGCACTGTCGAGCGCAGATCCACTGAGCTCAGCGCAAGCTAGCAAGACAGAAGCTAAACTCTCCTTGCAACATGGCAAATTGAACCTCCCCCACCCTCATTCAGATCTGGCCTTTGGAACTATTTTGGTTTTCATGTGACGTATGACCCTGAAGGTAAGCGCGTCATGGAC